ACCCTTACCTTGGCCCAAATGGATAAAAACCAGCAAACCGTTCAAACTTCTTCTTCTTCGCGAAATTGAGACCAGGTCTCCTCATCCGAATTCAGGTTGCGATAATTTGGGAGAAATTCCTTCGCACGTTCTCTATCTCGCTCGTCTATATCTTATCGGTAGAGGAATTCGCGATGTTAAAACCATACTCTCCATCTCCCTCTCGCGCATACGCAGCTTTTTTTAAAAAAAAAATATATATATATATTTTCGCAAACCTGCAACTCTCCCGGTAGCTCCACTTCGATCCAATTCCCGTCGTCATCATCACCCTCGTCTCGAGCAACAAACAGTGCTCACCGGCGAGTTCCCTTCCCCGTTGCTGCCGCTCCATAGCTACAACCACCGCCCGAGAGCCATAGCAGCATCTTGTCATCATCACCTCCGTCGGGTCCTGTCGAGTCCCATAGTAGTGCCGAACGTGGCCGTCGATTCCCGTCGAGTTCCGTCGGAGTGCCAAACGTAGCCGTAGAATCCCGTCGAGTTCCGACGAGCCTCCATTCATTTCGTTCGTTCGACCCGTTTTTCTGATTTCTCGTGAATTTCCCGAAGACGGGTAATCCTTCTCGAACCTCCTTATTATTTTCTTCGTACTTGTGTTTATCGTTCGAATAATGTCATGCTCGTTGAATCGTTCCTTGTCGGATTGTTATCGGTTCGATTTAATATTCCGTATGTTTGTTGTGATCGTGAATTTAACGTGGATTATTGGACTCTCGTTCATAAAATTCAAACTCTATTTATTGCTGTTATTACTCGTGAATTTCGGATTCCCATTTTGTTGTTTTCAGAAGTCTCGTATTACTTACCCGAGTCGTCGTCTTGTTGTTGTCGGTCGTATAGCTTTCGAGTCGTTATATGTCATTTCGTTTCCCGAACAAACCGGTTGCGTTATATATATTTTCGGTCTCTCTAAATTGTTGTTTTCGTAAAATTATTTACTTCTCAAAATGAGTCAATTCTCATTCTAGCAGATTTGTACGATTTTCCAAGTTTCTGCAAATTCCCGAGCTCTATTTCCCAAAGTTTCAGTAGCAGGTTTTTGTTCTTATTCATTTTCTAAAATTTGCAATGTAAGTCTCAAATAGCCTTGTAGTCCAGCGGGTTCTGTGCGCAAATCCTTGCTTGAGGTCTAGTGCTCGATCCTCGTCCTTGAGTATTTTTTTTGGCCCTATTTTTCCCAGCAGCGCGGGCTGTGAAGCCCGCTAGCGGCCCGCGCGCAGCCCGTTTAGTCTCAGCCTTCCCAGCCCGCGAACAGCCCAAAGGCCCGCACCCCTTGCACCCTTAACAGGCTTTCAGCGGCCAAGTTTAGTGGGCCAGATACTTTTGAAGGCCCAATGTGGGGCAGTCTTGGGCCAGATTATTCCAGCTCGGCCCAATTCAAATTTTGAGCCTATTTTGGGTTTCGGAGTCCGTTTTTCGTACCGATTTCAATTTTAAAAATATTTTTAAAATGATAAAATTTTGGGAAAAATTATTTTTATGTCCCGAGACTTCAAATTAATTTTCCGAGTCCTAGTTTGTAAAAAAATGAGAGAGTTCCAAGTCCACGAAAAATTCGATTAAAACCTTAAGTCTTAATTTTTATTAAGTATGGGTTTTGTGTTAAACTCGAGTAGTGAGATAGATTATTGATAAATTATCTCGCTTAAATGTAGGTATTTGCGGAGTCGAGCCTCGACCTACGTACTTGCTTTTGTGTGATATTCTCCCTCGATTTCTAGGTGGGTTTATTTATAAAATTGTCTATGCCTTGAATAGTGAAGTTTGTTTACTTACTTGGGTATGATCAAAATATGAAATGTGAACATGTAACCTTCGGCGTGAGCTG